AGCAACTGATTCATGTCCAAAATCATTTGCAGTTTGTTCAGAGAGAGGAGAAATTGCTACTATGATGTGCACAAATGACTGAGTGTTGTGGAGGTTGAACTAATAGTTATGAGAATTTCAATTCTGATCTGAGAAACGCACCAAAGCGACTGAGAAAAACTGTAATCAACATCTCAGGCCAAGCGAGCTGGCCTGTTCTTTCAGGCTCTCTCATCTGATTTATGTCCTTCTACTTTTGAATGAATGTACTGGTTTCTTGTTCCTGTATACGGTATATGCTTAACTGTTTGATAATGATGAGCTAAGCATCAGTTCACACCTGAAAGTTCCTCAGCTTCTTTTTCTACAAATTCAGACTTTTGTTTTATGAGAATAAACATATTTTAAGAACATTAACAGACACAAGGATCTTATTTTGGGACCTCGGGGAGTTTTCGTTGTGTTATGTGGGAAAGTAGGAAAGTCTACAGGCTTTTTATGTTTTATCTGGTGTACACAGCTCACTAGATTTGGTATTTCCAAAGGTAGCAGCTGAGGAAAAAAGTATTTGTTTTCTCAGTAGTGTGTAAAATTTGCAAACATAAACAGCAGACAGGATAATCTTGAATTTTGATTATCTTGTCTAACTGTCCTTCTGTTAGTCTCTTTCTATGACACATCACTGTGAGTCAGCATCTCAGCGGCCTCAGCGTCTGGAGTTTGTCAGTCATGTTAGTGACATGTGTCATCACAAACATCTGATGAAAATGGGTATCAATTATGAGTCATTTTTTATTCATCAATTAAATCTCTATTTGCCACTTGTGTGTAATGTCTCCCCCTAATGGTGGCCAGGATGGAATGATTGAAATATCATGATCTAAGAATCACGCAAACTGGTGTCATTTTTAATGCTGTACAAAAGTGAAATTAAACCTGTTTTATACATTCAAGACATCACACATGATTGGCAGTCACCCTTTAATGCATGGGCTACAAAATAAATAAATAAAAATAAACAAAATCTGTGAAGGTCAATTATAAACATTATACATTATGGGGCAGGCAACACACCACTGATGGATTGTTCTTCGTGGCCCCCAAAGGCCTGTTTGAGCACTGTAGTTATGCTTGATAGAGCAGAACTGCTATTATAGTTTACAACCTAATAAAAGAGCAATTACACTGAAAATGGAAACTTCAAAATATTGAAATATCCCCCGAGGATCAGGGCTCGTTTCTCAGATGGGCAAGAGACACAGAGGACAAGGTAGACAGACAGATAGACAGA